GGTATATACGGAATTCAGGACGTTTCCTCGGAAAGGGTAAATTGTTCGGTTTGTTAATGCGCATTGGCAGTATTGTGTTGCTGTCTAAACCAAATATTATATGTCAGAAACGGGGATACAACGACTAAATGTGTCCCAGTAAACCATTGATTGAAGCCTCAGGCGCATGTTTATGACATGGAAAGCCTCAAATGAAAAAGTTATAAACATTCGGACTAAGGCAAAGGCACTGATGTGATGAATCAGTGCCAGCGAATTCGGAGAATATGGTTGTTTGTTTTTTTGGGGGGTAAGAAAAGAGACCCAGGTCCCTGGTTTACCAGCATATGGAGCAGAGAAAAGGTTGTGACGATCTGGGTGTAAAAAAAACTCAAAGAGGACGGGAATGAAGGCAGTCTGGAGACCAAAAAAAAAAAAGTAGGACATATTGAGGGGCAAGGGGTTCAATGAAACACAAGGACACTGTAATGAGAGTTTACAACTTAGGTAGAATGTTCTTTGCAGTACAAATGCTCTCCTAGCCTTCTTGAAAGAAAATCAGTATTTCGCCACAATTGGCCGGCTCGTGGACTTTCCCTTACCCCTCATATAACTTATATCATGTGCAATCTTTGTGATGGTTGGTCCTTATCCCTCTTTCCTGGCCAATATCCAACTTCTGCTACTATTATTTTCAATTCAGCTGTGGCGTTTTATGTGGCCAACAAACTTCCGAGAACAGATTTTTTTTTTTGTTTTTAGGCTAATCGTATGAAGGATGTCAGTGGGACTAAAATTGTTTACTGGAGTTTCTTTGCGGGTGCTTTTATGTATTAGGCGTTTATTAGCCGAGAAAAAACTTGGTGTTAGTCACGCTTATTTCTCAATTTTGTTTAAATGTTTTTTATTAATCAAGCTACAGTTGATTCTTATAGCTGTTGTATAGATATATAACAAACAGTTTAGGAAGTTGTGTTAGCTGTCCCAGTAATTGATGTTGTATTAATAAAATATATTTTTGTTTCCCAGGATAGAACGTATAAACTGTTTGTGGTTTTTGTTTTGGTTCTGCAGTGAAGGCTTACCTTGAACTGACCGGCTGCATAATTGCAGTAAGTCATTTGTATTATGTATGTATGTGGTGTGGTGTGTGTGTGTGGTGTTATAGATCTATAGATATATATATATATATATATATATATATATTTTCGGTAAGCCAACAGGGTTTTTTTTTTTTTCACCCTTGAACCGGCTGCCTATCCCCTTCCCTGTTCGACGTTAGAGTCTCTACCAGGTACGAAGCTACTTCAATAGGTAGCTCTTGGGAAACCAGCCAACTCACAATGTTTTTATCATGCCAAGGAAGTATGTTCGTTAGAGTGCAGTGACTAGTTTTAGGTATTATGTCTGAGCATTGGGATGATTTCATACTATCTAGTTTGATTTTTGGTTTATACTGAAGGATATCATTCTTTGCATACATAAATCTTCAGAAGTGCTTAGTCTTCTTCCAAAGATCAAATAAGGGAAATAATTATGTTTATTTTTTTTTCCGCTGGTGCTATCGAATGTCGTGCTTTGCTCAACGCTCTCGGCAGGTAAACAGTCGCTATATGAAGAGGCGCAAGCAATATGTAATTACAAGCTGGTAAAATCAGTGTGATTTTCTTGCGTTTAAACGCCTGGTATCAGAGGAATCCGGGTTCAAGTCTGCAATTTTATCACGCACACATTGGCTGCCATGTCGACACAGTCTTTAGCGGGTACTAGATAAATTCCTCTGAAATAAAGGTGGCCGCCGTAATGCTGACCACATCACCCATCGAGGGCCAATTGGTATAAAACTATGGGTCTAACACTGGATGAACTGTCTTTCAAGTTGTTCATTAGTGAAACCTGTGTTCAGACCATTAGTTCATCCCGCTACCCCACCGTCAGCACGAATAATGTCATAAACTCAATGTTGTGTGGAGAAACTGCTATACACGGACAACATGTCTGCTTTACGTCAACCATTGAGGATTGACCTACTTCAGCTTCGTTGCAACGGTGTACCCAGCATGCTAACTTAAACTGCTAAATCTCTGAAACATTCACCAATCTTCTTACATGCAACTGGGTCCCTTTATTCAGCACTGAGGGATTCAGTGTCATTACTTTGTTTTAAACGAACATCTTTGATCACTTTGTTTTAAACGAACGTCTTGGAATGGCACTTTAAAAATCGTTGCAGTGGCGCCAACTGTTGCTGAAACAGATTGGTAATGCTATACAGTGCAGAAGAATGTTTGAAGAATCCTGCTAAATTTACAAATTGCACACCGATACATTAACTATATAAATATCAAACATGAGGGATTGCTTTTTTACCACTCCATGTATAGACTTACAAATCTGAAATTCAGAGTATTAGATTTTACGAATTCTATAACAGGGATCATGCGAGTCCACGCGGATGAAAGAAGTGCGATGTCAAACATCTTGTATGGAAAAACATCCTGGAAATCAATATGTGGTACTGAACAAATGTGATCTTGAGAGCAAATCACAAATGTTTGAGTACCTGCCGGTAAGTCAATCGTTATATTGCATACATAACTCTCATCCTAGTTCCTACCCCTACCCCCCCCCCCTTCCCTCCTCTTTTTCCCCCTTTAAGCGTATTGTGTTATGTTATGTGTTATGTTATTTGTTACGTTATCACAAACACGTCACTGCACAGTGGACAAACCCATGCCCTGTAGTTCTCTGATGTAGCAACCACACCAAGGTACCGCTAGTGATTGTTCCATAAACAAATAGCTACAGTGTCTTCTATACTGATCTCGAAAACAGCTCCTCGAGCTTCACCAGGCTTTACTCCGAGGTCACGTTATCATGTTAACTTTAGCGATTTGTGTAACTGTATAGCTTTTTCTGGTCGCCGTGACGGAGCGGCTAGACGCTCGCCGCGGATCGGAAGGTCATGGGTTCGCTTCCTGGCAGGGCCAAACTTTTTTTCAAAATTGACCTTGGCTCCCAGGTCGACCCAGCCTTGAGTGGGTACAGGGTGCAGTCCTGGGAAGTAGAGGCGACCGGTATGATGCTGACCACATCACCTATCTTGTACCGATTGGTCTATAAAATATGTCTAGCCCTATATGCCTTATAAGCTTGAAGGCGTGGAAAAGGGTCCTCTACTTTTACGCATAGCGTTTTCTCTGTGGGTCTATATTTTTTATCTGCATTCACCACTTTGCCACCAATTCAGCTTACTATGGCCTTTAATATAGGATTATCATCAAATATCCGTTTGACGCCTATTTAGTTTACAATATACATCTATGTGTATTGTACTGTGATCTTTTTTTTTTTTTAAATTGAGGCTCTCTATGTTGCTTCCAACAAATGTGTTCCGAAGTTCTCTTTCTTGTGCTAGGCCGATTAACGACATATGTCTTTCTTCTAAACTGATAGATCTGTGCTTGCCTCTTTTATGTATTTTTTTTTTTTTTTTCGTTACAGCATTATTTGTCAAATATATTTATATATGTGTATATATTTGTGTAAAATCGTCTTTTTATTATCTGGCCCTGTTCTTCCTTTCAGCCACAATAGATGCTGGTGTTTACTGTCTTGCTTTGATATTCCATCCATCCATGGCTTGCGTTGTCGACAGCTACGTCTGCTTCCATTATGTCTAAGTGACAGGGCTCTAGGCAACTCTGTTTAGTAGTCGACATGAATGATATCTTTCTGTGAGCTATAAGTATGATAGAAGTCTGCATGCTTGCCTTGAGTGTGGGGGGTCCCGTGTTCAGGTCCATGAACTATGTACGCCCTTGTGTATTGTTGCGCACATAGAAAAAAATCTCTTGACAGTTGAAAATCAAAAAGATTAGCCTAACGGCGCTGCATGGGCAACATTTGGAGTATTTCGGGATCCTCGCCAGTGCAACGGAGTTCGTGCACTACGCTGAGAGTCTGCAGACTTAAGCTTGAGTTATAAATATAAAGGAGCACTTATAGGATACTATCTTTGTGCCAAGATGTTGATCCGTTGTATATAAAAAAAATTAAGTATATAAGCACGGGCTCCGTCTGTTGTATTTCTAAAATATATTAACTTCATTTTCCCAGAACAAGAGGATATACCACCACGCCTCACACAGCTGTCTCACAGGTTCTGATGCCGGGACATTTCTCACCCTTCAGCCTTGTACAAATGACCGACATCAGATATGGATCTGGCCGGAAAATACGTTTTTCCCTAGGGCATCCAACCAGTCTCATTACTCAGAGCCTGCTGTATGAGTCTAAGTCTAAATATTAAGAAATTATCTTATAGCTCAAAAATGATCAATTAAGCAAGACAGTGAAACGTAAGAAGTGTGAGGATAAATAAAGAGTGAACTGGCTAATTTGTGTTAGTGTGAAAAATTAATTTGTTGGTGGCTTTTTACTTAGAGACGAATCTTAGAAAATAAAGTGTCTATACGTGGTTATTTATCGAATTTTGAGAAAATATAGTTTCAACTTATCTACATGGTCCGACAATTAGGTAATGAAACTAATTCCCCCAAAAAATTAAAATAATCAACAGTTGAGGATATAAGTATCTTATTCAAAGTAGGATTCTTGTGCATCGATACAGTGAGCAGCACGATACAACAAACACTGAAACGACCTCTGTAGTTCTTCTGTTGCTATGGCCCTTAAAGTCGATGTTACGGCCCTTTTGATGTCAACAATATTGTCAAAGAAGCGTCCTTTAATGGTAACGTTAATTTTGAGAATAGAACATAATCACAGGGAGACAAATGTATGCAAAGTATGGATGGTTGAGAACTCACATTGGTTTGGGGCAAAAATTCCTGTTTTGATGATGTCCTTTGAGTACTCAACCCGCTGATGTTTTTGGTCATCAGACAACGAATGCAGGTGTACCACACCTGCAAAAAACTTTTTTCTTGCCAAAATCTTGCACTAAAATTTTACGAAGGGTCTCTCTATTAACATCAGATACATCTGCCATCATACTGACTGTATAACAACGAACTTCTTATATCCTTTCTGTGACCTTTGTAATGAGTTCATTATTACCAACAGAAATTTGGCATCCAGGTCTAGTTGCATTAGTAATCATTCCTACGCCACTTTTAAATCAAAAATACCGCCTGAAAATCTGTGCACCAGATAAACAATTGTCCCCATAAACTTGTCACATCAATTCATCTGTCCCAATGGCGCTTTTTCTGAGTTTTAAATAGAATTTAATGTTAGCTTTTTGTTACATGCTGATTTCGTAGCAATGCACATCTAAGTAGGTCAATAAAATGGCGGCTGGTTTGTCGACTGCTTATCAGGCGGCGATGCAAAGTTGCTAGATCATAAATGAAGGTAGCCTCTTTTGATTGACTGCTTCGCCTTATAGATGGCACCTTTGTCTTGGCCGTAATAAAATCCGTCTCATTACCTAATTGTCGGACCTTGTATGTTTGTAAGAGATAAAGCTTCGGATAGACCTATCAAATGTGTGTAATAAATGTTGAATTGTGAATATGAGTGTATTTATTTATGAATAAAAATGATAACGAAAAATAAAAATGATCCATAAAGTAAGAACAACTTTCGTTTACGCGCATGTGTGTGTTCACAGCGCATCTGTGTGTGTGCTCGCATGTGTGTTTGCGTTTATGTATGTTTACGTGTATGTGTGTGTTAAGTATCATTTGAAGAGAGCTACCTAAACGAATGGGGGCTAACCGGTGGTTTTGAGTCTGAATCCACGTCTCTTTCTAAAAAAATTGTTTTTAATGAAACTGGGTGGACCCTTTGGTGGATTCGACCTAGAGAAGGTAGCAGGAAATGTCTGACAATTAGAGGAGGCCAGTGCGATCATGACCACATCTCCAACCGAATTCCGATTCGTCTACAAAATACGGAGGATAGGCAGCCCGGCATTACGAAGCGCGACTGACTGACGACTGACTTTCTATCCCACCAGAACATCACACAAGCGATAAACACCCGATAACGCAAAGTGCCACCATGCGGATGAGGATCACCGTGGAGAGGTCCCAGAAACCGCGTTTAGCCTTTAGGCAATATTTATGGCCAGGCTGTTGTGCGGCCCCTGGCAAGAGGCAAAGTAGGGCTTCAAATAACGAAAAATTTCATTCTTAAAAGGACGCAAAGTTGACAACAACGAAGCGCGTTTGCAACGTTTTGGCTATAGGCGCCGACAAACACAAAAAGTAAATTTCACAATGTATTAGTTTATGCATATTTAATGTGTTTCGCGAAGTGCTTCATCACATTCTATTGGTAATGCAGCGAACGAGCCAGATACAGCCAAATATGCAAGGCCCTAATTTGTACAGTTTAATGTCTCAGTCCTTGTGTACGCTTGTGTGTGTATGTGTGCGCGTGGGTGTGAGATGTTTTGAAATCAGTTTATTTAACTGAAGATTAACTGACGGACTGACTTTCTACCCCACTAGGACATCACACAAGCGATAAACACCCGATGACACAAAGTGCCACCATGTGGATGAGGATCATCGTGGAGAGGTCCCAGAAACCGCGTTCAGACAGTTGGCCATATTGATGGGCTGCCTATATTGCGGCCCCTGAAAAAAGCCAGAGTAGGGCTTCAAATAACAATAACACATGATGCTGTTGCTCGCATTTTATACAAATATATATGTGAACACGTAAGCAACGATGTTCACGACTATACACAAGGTGTTGTGTGTGTAAAAATAATTATCAGTTATGTGACAGTGACAAACTTGGAGAAGCAAATGTTTATTTTATCAGAAGCTATAAATCCATTTCAGCTCCAAATAAACAGCAGTTTCCAGAACGAATTTCACAGATACGAAATTATTTGAAAATGCATACGGGGCAACAACTTTAGGTGCAACAATGCTCTTTACAGATTCTACTTACCTCCTTTGTGAGCTTCTAGAAGCGTAGATATTTTTCCACAGTGAATGTAATCTCATGGTAGACAATGTTCTGTGAATATAGGAGGACAAGAGACTTCATGAAATTTTCCAATATTATGAGGTGGGATGACAAATCGTTGTTGTTTTTTTTTCAACTATAAAGAAGAAATATTTAAGGAACAGCATACCTTGATATGTTCTTCGGTGACCAACAAAGGAACAGTATACCTTGATATATACTTCAGTGACCAACGAAGGTAGAGTAAGAATTAGGGGGGGGGGGATGGAAGAAAAAAGAGACAGATGAGGGCAGGTGTATGAAAAGCTAGATCGAAAACAGATAAACTAGGCGTGACAATTCTGAGAATAGCCTACTGGAACTGATGCAATGCAAGACAGAGCGGGCCCGTTTTAGAGAAATTAGTTTATGATTTTGAAATCCTAATGTTGCGTGAGGTTATAACGGCCAAGTTGAACTATCTAGGGTGCAGTAGATACATCAATCCATCGGAGCAAGGATAACCTGAGTAAGCTATATTAGTAAGAAATTGGATACACCATTCATCACTTGATATGAATCAAACAAACCAGGGTAATAAAGAGCTTCAATAAATGCAGATATGGGACTCTAAGTGAAACATTGTAAATGTATGTGCACGTGGATAGACCTTTGTTTAAAAAAAAAGTCAGATAGGCTGCCCGGGTGAGCTCTTCTCTTCGGCCCTATTTCCCATACATATATAAAGAAGTCCCTGCCCTTTGCAGCGCTGACAAAATGGCGAAAAATCACTATATCGGAGCACATTGCCTGATCTCTATCACGCCCATCTTGAGCTATTTCTATTAGAGAAGGCAGTGACCACTACCTACCATCGACCTCTACTGAGTAATCCCGTAAGAAACACCTAAAACAATTATAAAGAAAACCCCCATATCGCAGCAGTGATGTTGGCTAAAGGATACTGAACTGGAATCCTTGTATGTGGGGATTTTAACACACGCACCTATAAATAAGATCAGCCAAAGGGAAAAGCCACGGAACACGCTGTAGTGAAATCAGAGCTCGGCAGCATCAATGATGGCAAACCGAGAAGAATGCCAATGAGGCCAAGGATGTCTACACTGTCATTCATTTTGCACTGGTCTCGCAGATTACAGAAGCAGACACTGTATGGAGTGTGTTTGGTGATCATATCAGTGACCAGCTGTCGTGTACTGTTCTGCTATCTAAACTGGGCAGGACCATGGTAATAAAGGTACGTAAATTCTTCAGAAATGACAAGACCGGGTCGCTTATTGGGCGCCTTAGGAGAAGAGCATAATCAGGGGCCACCAACAGTAGATTCATTGAGCCACCATTGTGGACGTAAAAGGTGGAGCAAGCGAGGAAAGAAAAAAAAAGTGGTGGTAAAGGAATGGCAGCAAGTAGGAAGGTTGCCTCCTTCTCCGCAAAAGGAGATCAGAGCAGCAGCAGACGAAAAGACAGCCGAAATTGCCAAATTCAAATTTTGTGTCAAAAATGCATTAAAAAACTTGAGCAGTTCCGGAACGAAATCATGGAGGGTAGAACAATGTGTATGTATGTTCTAGAGACTGCATAGGAAGAAGAACCGGCCCTCCTTAGTTGGTACGATTTAGCGTAAAAATGACCAGATTCTGACAGCTAACACTGAGAAGGGGACGGCTCTTCTGAAAAGAGGTTTAGAACAGACAGGTCAGAATGGCGGCACCATGAAGGGGCTGTTGTTTTCTTTTTCTTTTTTTTTCTTACTAAACAATCAGGGATAAGACGTATGAGAACATCGTGCAAGTAAACGATATATGGCATGTACTGAAGAAAACAACAGATAGTGCACCCGGACCAGACAGAGATTAGTCAAATGAGACGTTGTCAGGAACTTCGGAAAATGGTTTTGTGTTTGAACAACAGTATTATATACAACAGCGAATGTTCCAATTTACTGTCTGCATAGTTACCTTTTACCACTTCCATAAAACAGAGTATTGCATTACAGAAAACATTCGGTGACATTCTTGAAAAGAAAGTGGCAGGCAATTTACAGGATTACTCTAAAAAACATACTCTTACCTATAGGGTCACCCTTTCCTAGAGTGGGGTGCGTAGTCTCGAGCTATGGCGTCCGCCTCGGGTGCTGGAGGTTCCGGGTTCAGACCCTGGTGAAGGCTGGGAGCTTTTCACGTGGTCCCTAGTAATTGCCGCTGATCTCTGGGTAGCAAGATCGGACGCCAGTGTGTATTCTTGTATTCACGTAGAAAATCCCTTGACAGTTGGAATCAAAAAGAGTAACCAAACAAATTTGGAGATTAAAATCCATGATTCTGCTACGAAGCTCGTGCACA